CCTACTTTACCATGCTAATACTGATATCACCTGTCCCCAACATTTCCAACATATTCCAACATGTCTCCAACAAAAAGGTCTATACCTTAAATGGTACCCAATGCCCCATTTCTTCTTCAGGAATAGAGAAGAGCCTGCACACTTCAGCCTCCCGTTGGATATAAACACCTTCCTATCTAAGTAGAAAGAATCAAATAAATTGTATTAAGAGATTATTTTTTACTACTTATAAAAGAACAAATCCATTAATAAATAATGTAATTTGGGAGCATGACCCACTAAAATGGATGCTTTCTAATTCTGGTCACATGTAAGCCACTTTCTTTGTCACCCAATAACTAAAATGATATGTTAGTTGATTCTCTAGTATATTTAGAAAAATTATCATACTTCGAAAGGATCTGTTTCAAGCCAACTGACATTCATACTAAATAAAACATAGTATGTCTTTGAGAGTATGCTGTATATTTTACAACCAATCAGCTGCTTTGCAATAGGATCAGAATATCTCCATGACACAATGTTCTCTAGGATGTAGACACTCAAATGGATGAGAGTAAGATTCTCCTCTCTTGGTTCATGGCAGTCACACACATGGCAGCTGTGTTGGGACATATATATACATATTTCACACATATCCCTAATTTCTCACTAAGATGCACGAAAGAAAACCAAGAATCACCAGCTAGGATGTCAGCCTCATCCATGAATTGGGTACTGAAGAGAATTACTCTGTCTGATTTCCTCTCTTTCAGGAGGTTCCATACACAGTGCCTTGAAAGAGGATCTGATCCAGCAGTTGGTTCATCCAACAGCAAAACCTGCACAGCAGGAAAGCACATATAATCATTTTCCCCTTTCAGGCAAAATTCTTTTAAAAAGCAATATACTTGTAAAAGTACTTGGCAGAGATATCTTAGTACTTAATTTTTCATTGTAACAGTTCTCTTACATTTATCATTTGCAAATTAAGTTTGATCAAATACAATAGTTGCACAGCTTTCAATGGGATTTCACCAGTAATTTTAATTTGACTTACCTGAGGATCTCCTAAAATGGCAATCCCAAAAGTTAGTTTCCTTTTTTGCCCACTGCTTAAATTTTGAGCAAGAATGTCTTGAATATTTTCCATCTCTAAGTCCCGTAAAACTCGTTGCACCTAACCAAATAAAGAATATTTAGTCCAAAACCCAGAATGTTTATTTTTAAAATACTATCATTTTGCTGTTCATTACAAGGGGCCTTTTGCCTTTTATGCGATGAATTGTGTGGAAATAACAAATACATTTAAGATTTTCTGGGTAAACAAGCTCATTTTCATTGCTGTGTGACATCTAACTTGTTCCTCTACCTCTCGCTCCACTTCGTGTGGCTGAATCCCTTTTATTTTAGCAAACAGCCTGAGATTTTCTCTCATGGTGAGGAAGTCAAATTGCACATTGGATTGTGGACAAACTCCAGTGAGCTTGCTGACAGTTTCCAAGTCAGCCATTTCCGAAGGTGAGTGATTATAGATGGTGACCGAACCTAAAAGTGGAAGGGAGAGAGTCAGCATCAGGATAATGTGCCATGCTTCACTTACAATATTTTAGAATGGAAAACAATGTGTATCAATCACTACAGTCTTTTGAACATATTCTACCTATACAGAATACACTATTGACTAAAAATTTAATATTCACAATACCTCTGATCCAGCTGGAATACCAATTAGTAAGCATAAAGCTATTTATCATGAAATATTTAAACCACAAAGACTTTCTGAAATCAGTTAAATGTAAATCTATAGAAGAATGGCTTGAAGAAACTTCTAAAACTTTTCTCTTAAATACCTCAGTATGACTATTGAAATTAACTAATGAAACTAATGAACTAATGAAACGCACAGTTGATTCATTTGCCCGTGTTCTTGTCGTTGGATAATTGTCTTCTCACCTGATGTTGGGACCGACAGTCCACTGAGAATGTTTAACAGCGTCGTTTTGCCAGCTCCACTGTGACCAAGGAGGGCAGTGATCTGGCCTTCATAGATGTCAAATACCAAACCTGGCATTATTACAAAAA